GCACCGAGGTGTGGAGTGTTTACTGGCTGGACCTTGGGTCAAAGATAATAATAATCAGAACAGCAACAACAACAACATAGGGTGTATGTGTTTAACTCTTTGCCCCATTCGAAGTCCTGTCCTGCCTCACCTCCCCAGACCAGCCTTAGCGTGGACCCAAGTCCCTAGGTCGCTTCTGAGTCTGGCTGATTTAGACAAACAACCATGATTTTCTCCAGACTACATTAAATGCCACCCGGGCCACGTAAGATTCACTGTCTTCCTGTGTGTCCTGTATTTTCTCTGATACTTTATATAGAGAATCATTTTATGTAATCCTTTCAGCAACCCTGTGAGGAAACTTCTTGGCCCCATTTTACAGAGCAGCGGGTGGAGGTTCCGTGATGTTATTAACGTACCCAGAGTCCCAGAGCCAGGAAGGCTACGAAGCAGGTTTCAAACCCAGGTTTGCTGGACTCCAAACCCCATACTCACCCTACCCCTGTTAATGCTTCAGGGAGCCTTTCTGGGCCAGTGACTGGAAAAAGGCAGGGCTTTTTGCTAGAATTTTCCTAGGGACCCAGAACAGAAATATGCCACCAACGTTATGGTTTCTGCTAGGAAGCGGTGCTCAATGAGGTGCTGAGGCTCTCTGTTGATACACGCAGGGAAGCAAACATTTTTTTTTCTTTACCGTGTGTTTTGTTTTCCATAGAGAGCATTCTTTTTCTGACAGCCCCTTTCTTTCCAAAGTTTAGAACAGCAGCATATGCTCGCTAGAAGAGAGTAAAGGTTTCAGCAAAGCAAAGTTTTTGGCTGCCCCGCCCCTTTGCAGTTCAAATATCATTCGAAACATCTGTTTCTATTCTGTTTGCCTTTTGGAGAAAATCAAGGGGAGATATAAATAAGAAGCAAAAATGCTTTCCTGAACCAAAAAGCCCAGTACCTGGCCATCTGAAAAGATTTTGTTTGTTGAGACATTGCTGGAATGATAGGACACTTGTACAAACATCAATGATTAAGATTTAGCTAATAAAAAACCCCGAAAAGTCAGAGGTGAACTATTAAACACTACAGTGGGAGCTTTTTTTCCCCCAGTGGATTCTGAACTGTTTTTGAAAACCAAGCACTTGGTGGGAACACAATTTACAAGATGGTAACAAAGTTTCCACAGATGAAGAAAGTTTAGAGTTTATTCTGGATCTCCACCTGTGGCGAGGAAAAAAAAAAAAAAAAAAAAAAAAAACGCCCAAAGAGAGCAAAAGAACATCTTTGTGGACAAATTCAGCTCTGGTGGGTGTTCGTGCATACAGGTGGGTGGCCATCCCTTAAGTCAAGGGTGTTGTGATTAGGATCAGAGCCCTTTTTTAATAAAGGCAACAGTGTGGAACAATAGAATTTCGTCATCTGAGTCTTGTTACATATTTTCTTCTTTGCTTCCTTTTTTTTTTTTATGGCTCTTTTTGTGTGTGTGGTAAAATTTACACGTAATGAAATGTCCATCTTAAGTAAATATTCCGGGAGGGCCAGCCGATGCACCTGTGTACTTCAAACCCTTGCCAAGACTTCCGACACTGCTCTCCCCTGGGGAAAGCTGCCGTTCTGACTTGGGGTGTGTGTGTGTGTGTGTGTCCTGTTTTCCCGTTGATGGATACTCGGCTCTTTGCGGTTTTTGTCCAAATGAAGTTGTACGTTTTTGTGGATACGTTTTCTCTCGAGTCCGTGCCTGTGAAACGTTTTCTCTGGAGTCATTGCGTACGAACGCAATTGCTGAGTGGTACTGGAGGTTAATGTTTAGTTTTACAAGGCACCTGCCGGGCGTGTTTCCGGGATGGTCGTCCCACCTGACACCCTCCACTGTTAACATGAGAGCGATGTCCTTGGTGCCATTCGATGTTAGCAATGGCGTCTCATTTGGGTCTCAGTTGGGATTCTCTCGTGACCCGTGACATCGAGCACTTCAGTACTCTCTGGCCGTTTGTGTGTCTTTGTGAACTGGGTGTTCAGATCTTCAAAGAGGATATACATGTATGTATGAGACCCTCCAGCTCTCCGGGGTGTGGGGCCCCACTTACTTCATCTCTTCCGTCTATATTTCTCCCCAAAATGATGCTATCCTGCTTTGTTTAGTATCCTATTCCTGGTGCCTAGGATGGCCCCTGGCACAGAATAGGAGCTCATTTAAATAAACATTTGCTGAAAGAATCAGTGAGTGAACAGATGAACTGACTTTTGGATCTGATATCCAGACACAGTTTCCTTGACTGAATGGCAGTGATTAACCAGGAAACAGAGAGAAAAGGAAATTTTAATGTTCTCCTTGAGCTATAAAGTACTCTTGGCACGAAGGTCTCAGGATACCTTCAGGGGATTTGCTCACCCAAGGGGAACAGATGCTAGAATATCTCACGAATGAATCTCATTTGACCTCATTTATGAACTGTCTCGTGCTTCTTGGGTTCTGACTGGGTTTGCTTGAAAGATGATCAGAGCCTCTAGCCTCAGAGGGTTTATGTGACTTAAACCAGATTCCACTGTGCCTTCGGCACCTAGCTGTTGGCTCCCTCTGGCACTGAAAATGCCTGTCTCCTACCCAACTGCCCCTTTGCTGGGTTACTGCCTCCCTGGCGGGGCCCCGCCCACCGATGTATGCTGCGTTTCTGAGCCCCCAAGGGCCAGCAGGGGGCTGGCTCTTTCCCCTTGGTCTCCAAGCCGTTTCCCTGGTCCTAACCCAGCTGGCTCCAGCCTCTCCTGCTGGGGGTAGACACCCGGTAATCATCAGCAGCGTCCGTTGTCGCGGAGAACTTGACCATGTATACAATATGTTCATGCCCATGATCTCATACAAGGTCCCGAACGGTCTAGCTGTATTCCTCTTTGGTTTTTTTTTTTTTTTCCCCAAATGAGGTGCTATAAAGAAGTAATTTAATTTGCTCCAGAGTATACAATTGCCCACATGTGGCCCCGAGTTTTCTCTGGGACTTGCTCAAAGAATATCAGTAACCACCATATGGGATACCCCCTACCCACTGCCCTAGGATCACTTGTTATTTAGGAAATGTCCACCCCAGACTGTACTTACTGGCTCATGTTACCATTTTTATTCATCAGAGTGTAGGATCAGGATCAGATAATCCGTGCCTGTACTGGCTGATTTTATTGCGGCCCACATAAAGACACTCGAGATTTGAATTTGCCTCCAAGACTCATGACTGGCACACTTCTGCTTCTGCGGGGCTTTTTGGAAGATTAGAAAGTTCACACGCTGACCCTTGGGGGAGTAGAAGCAGAGGGCAGTGCTTGTGAAAAGCAGCCTCGGGCGCTGGGACTATAGTCTGAGTCCGCAGGGAGCGAGCTGGGTGTTGCTGTCTCAGCGCTTGACTCTGTGATCGTGATCTCGAGATCGGGCTTCTTCCTGGCTCCGTAGAGAGAGGGGCTCAGTGAGCCCCTTCCTAGCACTTCCCCGGGGGCTAGGCTATCTGGGTTGTTTTCCACTGACATCCATAGCATTTGGTGAGAATATGCACTTACAGAGACAAAGGCGTTCCCCTAACCATTATCTAAAGGTGCACATGAAAAAAATGTTTTGACATTTATTTGAGAGAGAGAGAGAG